GACTGGTCGTCTGCTCAAAGTTTTCAACAATCTGATTTGCGATTCTCTCCCAAATATGCGACAAATAGCATCGAGAGAGAGAAAAAATGAATATCAGATCACTGTTTTCTTGTTGGAAAGGAGTGGGCGTTGAAGGAGAAAGATTGGGGGGGAAACGAGCTTTGTATCGCGGTGTCTTTCCCTTGGGTTCACCACGTTGTTTTTGAGCACTTATAATTTCCTTTGTTGTGTCCAAAACATCTCGAGTTGTCCATGTTTTATCACCGGCGTCAGCACGCGGTCCGAGAGTCTCCGGCGGAGGGGGAAAAAGAGGACTTCTTCCAGGATAAAGGCGAAATTTGGTGACGGTGCGTGTGTGAATGTGTGTTAATGTGTGTTTTTTTCAGCTTCCCAATAATGGCGGCCCTTCTCCCGTTCTCGGTCTCTCCTCCCTCCTCTCTCTCTTTCTCTCTCTCCCTCTCTCTGTAGTCTCGCGCATGGACACAATTACCACACACACACACACACACACACAATAATTATTAACGCCAGCGCTCGTATCTGAATTTAACGTACAGTGGATTTAGGTTTTGTGTTTATTATAAAACAAATAATATTATAGCCAGCAATATGTGCTCCCGAGGAAAGTACACAGTGGAGGACTGTGAGGTTTAACAAAGAGCTAAATCTCAGCAACAACAGTAAGGGAGAAGAAAAAAGTCCAGTCAGTCACATAGAAATTGATTGTGCAAATTAACTAAATAAATTCCAATAATATTTTGAAATATATATTGAGTAAATAAGTGAACACACACCTAAGAATGTGCAATGCAGGAATTTTAACTGAAATAGCCCAGATAACTGTTCCCATGTCAGGGGAGATTCATTCATTTATTTACCTTCGGCTTAGTCCCTTTATTCATCAGGGGTCGCCACAGTGGAATGAACCGCCAACTTATCCAGCAACTTATCACGCAGCGGATGCCCTTCCAGCTGCAACCCAGTACTGGGATACACCCAAACACACTCATCCATACACATACACCACAGCCAATTTAGTTTATTCAATTAATATGTTGCATATTTTTGGACCATGCGGAAAACCGGAGCACCCAGAGGAAAACCCACGGAAACATGGGGAGAACATGCAAACTCCACACAGAAATGCCAACTGACCCTGAATGCTAACTACTGAGCCACTGTGCCACTTATTATTCATATTTATTTTTGAAACTTAGTGATACTAAAATGTTTGCAGTCATAATTCGATTGCATGGCAAATTCAATGGTAACTTGTAATTTTTTTGAAAGTTTTGCCTTTTTCCAAATAGTATTTTTAATATTACAGAAGCTTATTTGGAGTAAATTCCGATTATTATCATGAGCGATAAGTTCATTAATATATCAAAGCACATCAGCCTTTCACAACAAACTGTGTTTCAGAGAAGTGAAGAAACTGTGAAAGGTCTCTGCTCCCACCTCTAGACTGCAGCTGAAATATTTGTAAGTCCCAAGGGCCGCCGCATTCTTCGCTCTCACAGTTGTGCAATCTCTGAACAATCAGATTCCCCAACCCCCTTCTGAATATATCTGCTCCAACACAGGCCAAGACTCTGGACAATGTTCTGCAGGAGACAAACTCACGATCCTTCACTGCAGTTGAAGGACAGAACAGATGTGCTGAGGGAAAGCAGATCTGATTCTCCAGCTTTTTAACAAGTATCCTATGAAGTGAGAAATGGTGTTTAGAGACTGAACTGCTGAGATCTTCGTCTAGATGCTGCAGGGTTTTATGACTCTGTTGGAATGAGACTTAAAACTGCATAAGTTAGAATTACTGAAATATTCTATTTACCAGAAGTGGGCCCTGCATGAAATTGGTGTGGGCTAGAGCCGGCATCACTGGCTCATTTGTCTTGGAGCTGCCAAAATTATCATCTTACTGGGAAAACATTTTTCTAACATTCTCAAAAATAGGTGAAAAGCCAGTAGATCCAGATCTCCGTATCGAAGAGATTATAGTGATTTTGAGATAGCTAAAAACAGCACAGAACAAAATATAGTTTCATTTGTCTGTCTACTAGAACAAAGTTTAATATTATTAAACTGGAAACAGAATGAAAACAGTTGAAGTCAGAATTATTAGCCCCCCTTTATTTTTTTTTTATTTTTCAAATATTTCCCAAATGATGTTTAACAGAGCAAGGAAATTTTCACAGTATGTCTGATAATATTTTTTCTTCTGGAGAAAGTCTTATTTGTTTTATTTCGGCTAGAGCAAAAGCAATTTTAATTTTTTTTAAAAAACAATTTAAGGTTAAAATTATAAGCCTCTTTAAGCTATATTTTTCAAACTGTCTACAGAACAAACCATCATTATACAATAACTTGCCTAATTACCCTAACCTGCCTAGTTAACCTAATTAATCTAGTTAAGCCTTTAAATGTCACTTTAAGCTGTATAGACGTGTCTTGAAAAATATTTATTAAAAATATTATTTACTGTCATTGTGGCAAAGATAAAATAAATCAGTCATTGGAAATGAGTTATTAAAACTATTATATTTAGAAATGTGTTGAAAAAAATCTTCTCTCCGTTAAACAGAAATTGGGGGAAAAAATAAACAGGGGGACTTCACATGTATATACAGTTGAAGTCAGAATTATTAGCCCCGTTAAATTATTAGACCGCTTGTTTATTTTTTCCCCAATTTCTGTTTAAGGGAGAGAGGATTTTTTCAACACATTTCTAAACATAATAATTTTAATAACTCATTTCTAACAACTGATTTATTTTATCTTTGCCGTGATGACTGTAAATAATATTTTAAATGATATTTTTAAGACACTTCTATACAGCTTAAAGTGACAATTAAAGGCTTAACTAGGTTAATTAAGTTAACTAGGCAGGTTAGGGGGATTAGGCAAGTTATTGTATAACAGTGGTTTGCTTTGTAGACTATCGAGAAAAAATATAGCTTAAAGAGGCTAATAATTTTGTCCCTAAAATGGTTCATAAAAAATTAAAAACTGCTTTTATCCTAGCTGAAATAAAACAAATCAGACTTTCTCCAGAAGAAAAAATATTATCAGACATACTATAAAAATGTCCTTGCTCTGTTAAACACCATTTGGAAAATATTTAAAAAAGAAGAAAAAAAATCGAAGGGGGCTAATAATTCTGACTTCAACTGTATATCTAATGAGAGATGTAATGAAATAGTTGGAACTGGAGAAAACAGAATCTTCCTAAAATAGAAATAAGACAAATTCTTTAAAATCTGGCAACCTTTCATGGATTAATTTAAAAATATAAATTTTGCTAGATATAGTTAAATTGATGAGGATTAAACTAATTTAGATTAAAACAGAAGGTCAGTATTTTGTTTTGTATTTTTGTTTATTTACTATTTTATTTGAATTTATTTCATTATTATTTGTTTTATTTTTGTAATTTTATTATTTTTTGTAATTAATATTATTGTATTAATCTATCATCACTATACTTATACTGTTTATATATTGCATGTTTTATTGCCAATTGCTGTGTAAATGTTTGTTAGACCAAATTTGTAAGTCGTTGTGTTTGAATGTCTAAAAAGAAACAAAATCCATTTAGTTTTAGTGTCTTAAAAATAGATGTTAAAGGCAAATGTATTTCTGAAAGAGGAATTTATTTTGGTAAAAAAAAAAATCATTCATTGTGTAAAAAAAATCTTTCATTCATTTAACCATTCATATTAATCATTATGAAAAAAATCATATTAGTCTTATTAATCATTCATTCGAATCATTATGTACATTTTACCGTGCTGTAAAATATATGTAATATATGTAATATTATGGATTTTTGGTATTAAGTTTTAAAATATGGACTTATTTGTACAGCAAAATTAGTTGCTTTTTATCACAGATATACTTAAAATTGTCTCTGGGAGTCTTTTCTGCTCACCAAGTCTGTTTGAGAAAAATATAGTAAGAAAATCAGTAATATTATGTGTTTTTATTTTCGAAAGTATTAAAATATAGACAAAATTAAAACATAATTAGGTGCCTTTATACTAAAAATTGTTTCTGAAAGTCTTTTCTGCTCACTGAGTCTGTTTGATAAAAAAGAAAGAAGATTTGTAATATGGGTTGTTTTTCAAGATTTTTTGGTCAGTTCCTTTATCACGTTTCTTTACAGAGAGATGCCAGTCTTTACGTTATGATAATGCACTATTTTTAAACCTTTTAAAAATGTGTTTTGAATATTTATTTGTTTTCGTTGGCCTTTAATTACTTACTTTTTGATTAGATTAGATTAGATTCAACTTTATTTTCATTAAAAATGTGTACATACTAGGCAACCAAATGCAATTTACTGTAGGTCTAGCCAGGAATGCACTTTGGTATAAGGTATGCGTGCACTATGGGTAATATTTACAGATGGATGTACTATGAACATTATATGCAGGTTGTTTTAACCGTATCAGGGATTTACAAATAGATGAGCATACACACACAATTGGAAGATAGAAAAAATCTAAAAAATGAATCAACTTGGTTCAGAATAAGTCGTCTGAAGCACTAAAGCTACTAATTGTAAATGATAACACCCGTTGAAACTGTTGAGCGTTTAATTAATTATATATAATCATATACATACAAGACTTATATAAATGTTTAACTATTTATGTTTATTAAATGTTTTGTAAACCTGATGAAATCTTCAGAAAACACTTTAATGCTCATGTAAAAGCTGTCATTAATATATCAGTTCGACGCTACAAAATACGCTCTCTGTTTTAAAGCCTTTCATTCATTATGAAATGTATTACGATAATTATATGCCTATTCATGAACAAATCCCTTAACCAAAGGTCACATTAACTATTTATAAAAGTCTACATAAAAATATAAAACATTTAAGTCATGTGACAGTTCAACCCCGGTGTAAGCTCGTAATTGTAGTACGTAAAGGCCCTTTCTCTTGATGCTTTTGTATGTGAACTGATGATTCACAGAACTACATTTCCCATCACACCTTGCAGCAACGGCCCTCAGCTCGCATCCTGTCCGGAGAAGATAGCGGGCGGCTACAGATCTTAACCAAGGCAGAGGCGTCTGTATTTCCTAATTAAATCAATTAAACATTCACCAGAATAAGTCCGACAACCGCGAACGACAAAAACTGAGCACAATGGTAAGTGTAAAAGCAATTTTCGTTGCTTTTTTAGATGATATATGTCGGAGTATTTGGAGTGTCTATTCTTATCAGCTAACATGCTAGTGTAAAATATGCCGATTAAAACTGCACCACCAAGGTCATAAATCAAATTATTCTGACTTAATTTATTATCTATATAATCCAGAAAGAAAAACACATAATAGTCAGCCTGTCATCTCTACAATACTTGTCAGAGTAGAATTAACGCTGAAATCAAGAAGCCAAATGTTCATGGCTAATGTTAGTTATTTGATGCTAGCCCTGTATTTTTCGTTTATAGTATAACGTTGTACTAATTTGTGTCTAATTACGTTTCAACACAAATCTTGCTACACACTGGTTTGTCTAAACTAAACTGTATTGTTATAATGCCCACTAACATAACAAGCAAGCACGTGACATGACAGGTTTATGTTGAGGTAACGTTAAAGTCGGTGTTATGTTCGCACCTTTGCTAATTTTTGGACAGTGACAACTTGTGACACGGTCTCTATTGTGTTTACCACAATACTTTGAATATTCGGTCTGAAATCGCATGTAAATATGATTTCAAACCGACATTAGCACTATTTTATTGTTTTCAATATTTTTGTTGCATTTTTTTCAGATAAAATTGTTATAAAAGGTGTTATAAAGGTGTTATAAAATTACTCTTATTGTTATCGTTGATTGTGTTGACCGTGCTGTTGTATAAGTTTTGACTTGTGTGTATATCCATCTGTGTTTCCCCTTTCTATTATTTGGTTTTTGGTTTGTGTGTTTGTTGATTGTTAATATACACACACACACACACACACACACACACTCACACACACTCAGACACAGTAAGAGGCAGTAGGGGTTGGACGCCACACTTTTCTTTTTGTAAATATTTTCACCTGTTTTTGTTCTTAGTCAGGGAGATGGGTGTATATTTTTATTTCTGTTATTTTATTAATTGTAGTAAGTTACATTTGGTTGTTTAGTACTTTTTGTTTGTTATTTTTCTGTGGGTTCACCCCGAGGTAGTTGGCTTCACATTGTTTATTTATTTTTATAAAAGAAAAAGACAACTAAAGAGACCCGACACAAAAGGGTCATTAAAGTGTATTTTATTTGTCGGGTGTTTTTTTATGTTGCGGCCCTGACCCTAGACCAGGGTGGTAACATATTCAAACTTAAATGTATATGAAAAATAGAAGTCCTACCAGCAAAGAGATGACATGAAATATATAGCAACAAAAACAAGAAAACTGTAGAATTCTTAAATCAAACTTACAAACTTTTCTACCCCTTTCATGCACCATTCCTCCCATCTCACACCCATATTTTCTGAGGCCTTTAATAAGTAGATGAATCAAGACAGATACATAAATAATAAACCAATTAAAAAATAATTATAAAAAAATATATATATATATATATATATATATATATATATATATATATATATATATATATATATATATATATATATATATATATATATATATATATATATATATATATATATATATATATATATATATACATGTATATATATTAGGGATGCAACGATTAACCGATTTCACTATTAACCGCGGTTTAATTCATCATGATTAATTAAACGTAAAGGCTTCTCAACACCGCAATTCTGAATAGTACAAAACTTCTGCAAGTAAACAAAGTTACTCCAACTCTGCACAAGTTTGAAGTTTCGAGCTTGTACACTGTGGCTGAGGCTTAGAAAAGGGCCGTTCACATATTGTGTCTTTGCATGCACAAATTCGTTATTACTAGGGATGCTCATTTCTGTTAATTTTGCTAACCGACAACCGCCGCTCATTAATCGGTTATTAACGGTTAACTGGTCAGATACTATTAATTTTATATTAAACAAATTGACGTGTCTATTTTGTGTCTGACACATTAAATATTGCATAAAATACTGATTTATTTTTAAATGCTAGCATATTAATAACAGAACAGAACAACAGAGCATCTTCACACACCTGCAGTGTTTAGCACAGAAGAACAGAATAAACTAAATAAAATGAATGAAATAAATAGGACTGCCCTAAATAATTTTCCACTTAAATAATTAATTTATATTACAAATCGAAAACACTGACTGATTATTTTTAATAACCGGCATATAGGCTGTTTTTTCCAATCATATTTTTGTCTTCCGTCAAATAAAATAGCAGACTTCCTCAAATCACTCGCTCCACGAAAAATATGCATTTATTTAATGCCCCGCTTGTATTATTATAATCACAAAACCTTTTACATTTTTAATACAAATCATTATTTTAAAGATTATGTCTTGCTATGGTTTCCTTTCTCTTCATCGCGGCTCAAGTGCGAGCGCTGCGTGATGAAAAGACAACAACAACGCGCGCAAATGTTGACTTTTTGTAAACAGTTTTGTTGTTTAAATATGATATTGCATTAATGTTCATACATGCTTTATAAGCTTTAAAATAAAAGGTAAAGCCTATTTGTTGCGTTTATGACGCAGATCCAGGTCAACATCAGTGCTTTTTTTGGCATCAACACGTCTGTTTCAAGCAATTTTCTTCTTCCATTTAGCTTCTTTGGCAAATGTGTCTGTAGGCACGGGTTATACGTTGTCGTCCCGCAAGTTAAGTATGTCTTGCAGTTGAACAAGTGGCCGACCACAGCTAACGTGGTTTTTTCATTCCAAAAACGCGAGGTGCACCTCACTGCCCTTATGTTGACAAGGAAAAAAGAAGAGAAGAAGCGCGGTCCTCTTATGAAACGACTGAATCAGCTGGGTATCGATTGTGCAAAAGTGTTGCTGTATATGTTGATAAAATTTTAATATTTAATAATATTATGATATTCAAGATTTGTACATTCATACAGCTCTGGATAACTTAAAACAGTGATTAGACCTTCAGAGCGGCAATAATGTGTCCTGAAGTAAAGCGAAACGGCTATAAACTCCAGCAAGATAGAGTGATTATATACAGAGCCATATACCTTTATCTATAAATAAAGTATAACTATAGAAACTGTGTTCATCTTAACTGAATGCAAAAAATACTTTTTAAACTTCATTTTAAGTCCAAAGAGAAAGGACTATTGTTTGTTTTTATTAATAATTTGCTTATATATTATTATTATTACCAAGCAGAAATAAACAAAACTTTAATATGAGGAGTTTCCAGGTGATTTTTTAAGCTAGTAGTGTTTTAAAATAAATAAATGCATAATATTTTTCAGAGATGGGTTGCGGCTTGAAGGGGATACGCTGTGTAGAGCATATGCTGGATAATTTTGTGGTTCATTCCACTGTGGCGACTTCGGATTAATAAAGGGGCTAAGCCGAAATGAATGAATGAAAAAATGCAAAATAATCGTGATAACCGTGTAACCGAGATTATTTCTCAGAGTAAAGTCGTTCAACCAAAGTCTAAAATCATATATATATAAATGGGTAAATATAGAAGAAGAAAATATGAAGTAAACACTAAAAGTCTCCCTTTTGAAATTCTAGTCAGCAGGTCCTGAAATGTTAAGGTTCTCAATGACAGACAGTATAGGACTTCATGTTTTGTTAAAGTTCAGTGATCCTTTAAAACAATGTCTCAGTTTATCTTCCAACCCCAACTGCACAAACATCAACACGCCATGTCATTGCCTTTACCTCCTTGTTCGCCAGGCACGCAATTCTCCTCAAATGGAAACTTATGTCCCCTCCATCATCAGAACACTGGATTAAAGAGGTTCTACATTGCATCTTTGCTGAGAAACATAAGCCATTATTTAATAGACTGTGAACGATGTTGTACTTTGATAGCCATTGGCTGCTAATATGGTTCGCTTATTTAGAATTTGCAAAGAATACTTTACTGAAATTATATTATCAAGGAAAAACTTTGAATATTTGCCAATATAAAACCAACTTTACCCCAATAAGGTTTATGTTTTATGCTTTACTGACTGATTTACAAAATTTTTATTATTTTACTGTTTATTTCCAGATCCGCTTTATCCTCATCCAGAATCGGGCTGGGAAGACCAGACTGGCCAAGTGGTACATGCAGTTTGATGACGATGAGAAGCAGAAGCTAATTGAAGAGGTGCATGCTGTAGTGACAGTCCGTGATGCCAAACACACCAACTTTGTTGAGGTACAACACTCGCTTTTAACATTTTTCTCAGGTCTTGGGTTAAAGTTAGTTTTATATTCACATAACATTGACAATTTGTGACACCCTTCCCCAAAACCGCTTGCAAAGTATGACTTCAAAGCATCATTATCTCTATTTAATTAACTGTGAACAATAATATACTTTGATCAGGGTTCATACGGTCATGGAAAACCTGGAAAAGTGATGGAATTTTGACATGACATTTTCAAGTCCTGGAAAAGTTTTGAAAAAATGGAAAAACCCACAAGGTTTTGGAAATGTCATGAAAATGTGTTTACCAATTACCTGTATACCTGCACGATATTGGAAAAATCTGACATTACCATATTTTGTATTTCTGTGATGTACATTGCGATGTGAATACAATTTCACTTGATGATTTAACAGGTTTATTTGGATTGATTGGGGGAATTTTGTAGGGGAGTGAATCTCGACTAATAAATAACAAATAAATTACAAGCATAGATAAATAAAATATAGTGAAGATATAGGTGAATTATAGGTTTCAGGTCTTCATTGTATATTATTTAAACTTTATTTACAAAATAGTTACAAAACATTTCAGTCACAGGCCTTAAAGGGATAGTTTACTCAAAGATTAAAATGTACTCACTATTTACTCGCACTTCACTTGTTTCAATACTATAGGAGTTATTAAATTGGATTCTTTTTGTGTTCATAAAAAAAAAAAAGAAAAAAAAGAAAACGCATAAATGTTTGAAACAAGTGATCGGTGTAATATAAATGGGAAGTAATTTTTGGGTGAACCATCTCTTTAAAAATGCATGCTGACGTACTGATGCTGAACTTTTACTCCATTATGTTTAAACTCTATATTAAACTTTAATCATTGCAACATTGCATATCCTGCCATGTGACTATAGTGGATGCACAAATTGCGATATCGATGCTGAATTGATACATTTTGCTGCCGTAACTTGAATTTAGGTTAGTTGTCTTTACTTCTTTACTATCCTTGGCCAAAAACTTGCTCTCACAATCTATCAATATGAAAACAAATGTAAACAAAATAGATGGTTGCGTGTTCTATGATGTGCTTTAATAAATTTTAACATCCTTGTTTTTCTTATTATTTCCCATGTACATGTTGACATTACATGAAACATTACGCCATGAAAATGTACTTGAAAGTACTGGAAAGTCATAGAATCCTGTTTGATGGAGTTTGACTGCTCATATGATTACCTTATTTAGAATTTGCAAAAGATACTTTTCTGAAATTATATTAAGAAGGTGAAAGTCCCGATGTGCGAATATAATACCAACTTTACCTTTATTTCTTAGGTCAGTGTGTGAGTCCATTACAGTTAACTACGTTGGTTGCAATGGTTTATCATGGTTTTTGGTTGACTGTTTCGTTATGGTATGTGCAAAGTTTACAAATGATGGCTGCAGACAAATTCAAAGAACAATAAACCTTTTTAAAATTTAAAATTTTTTACATTTTTGGCTATTTAGGCCATCTAAGTTTTTTGCAAGAAAATTGGCATTTGTTATTTGGGTGACTGTCTGAATTTACATTGAGTGTCTGCTGAAACACTAATGGCTGTCATGTTTTTTTGTCTCACCTGCACTTTTGCCGTTTATCTCCATCACTTGCCATGCTGAATGTTGAGAAACTCTATATTTACTTACTAAGAGGTGATTGGACAGGTCTTCACACATGCATGCAACATATGTGAAGTGTAAAGCTGGTTTTATACTTTTGCCTGGCGCACTTTTGATGACTGTGTGTGCATCTCACAAAATGGATAAGGCTTTTATACTTGCCGTGTTCGCTGTTGTGATACTCTTTAAAACGACAGGGTGGCGCCGAAAAGAAACCCACCAGTAAGACAGATTGATAAACAGAGAAGTGGAAAGTTTCCAGAATGACATCATATCGTTAATATAATACAACTTTTTAAATTATTTTTAGGATTTTTATAAGTTATTTAAATGATTATAAGGATTTTTATAACCATTCAAGATTTTTTTTAATCAAACTTTGATGCATCACTTGCTTTTGTTCATATCTTCGGCAGTTTTACCTATTAAAGTTTATTAAAATATTAATGACAACAGAACATGGGTTGCTATACAAATATATATTTTTATTATGTCAGGATTAAATGAAAAAAAGTACACTTACTAAAAAATACAGATGTTTTTCTTTAGATTTAGCCCACACCACAGTTCACACATTATTGTCTGTCTAGTTTCTGTCCTGTACTTATACTAAACAGGCAACAATGGTCCAACATCCCTGACCATTGTCATCAATAAAGCCTAGAAAAAACAGGCCATCAGTATGCTGTAACCGATAGGTTCAAATATTCCTTCCCAGTTATCAAAGAAATAATTTGTTCCTTAATTATAGTTTTGTAACTATTAAATTGTTTTCAGTTCAAAATTATAATATATACGTCAGTGTAAAACCTATGAATGGTGGAAAAGCATATTCTGCAAACTTGTACCTGGATCTTCACTTTTGCCATGGCCTCTTTTGGCTTTAATAAACTCTTCAGGTTTTTCCAAACTTTTTAACAAAAACTTTCCTCCTTTCACAGGGCTGTTGCAATTTCTAGCCAAGAATTAATTGATCATTAGGTTATTTCAAATTAAAAGCCCATTGTTCCACTATTGTGCTGAATCGTTCTTTATGCAGAACCGTTCCATTCCGTGCCAAACCGGGCCAGACAGCACGGATACGGTTTCATTTTCCACTGTCATGCTGCAACAAAGCTCTTTGAAAAATTACACAAACCTATTAGTAGTTACCTTGGTAATACAATGTAAACGGCTCCTTCGTTGAATTAAATTTAAATAAACTACTTTTTTGATGTTCATAAAATCGAAAGCAACTGGATAACTGAGCACTGTTATGTCGCTTAATCAAATAGGGGTGCTAAATATAGGCACATGTCACAGCACCCTTATTTATTTAGAGGTCATATGTAGGCACACACAGAGTCTGCGTGCGCAGAATTCCTCAGATTTTCCACAGAATTTCGCTGATTTCCGAAGATTTTTAGCCCATCAATAATTCTGTTTATTTACTTGGGTAAATCTAAGTTTATTTAGTTTTTAAATTAATTATAGTAATATTATTGACTAATATGGAAATGTTCATCTGATTTATGTACATATATATAATATACCTTTTAGTAGATATATTACATGAGAGACTTGCTTCGTTTACCAAATAAAGTGGATCTAATTGAATTTGCATTTTAATCATTAAAAGTTTAAAAGATATTATATATTATTTCACATTTTAATGTTTTAGTTGTAATATTCCCAAAATAATTCTGCAGAAATCTGCAGATTTTTACCAAAATTCTCAGCAGAAATATAAAAAAAAGGATTTCGTCTGGCCCTATATGTTGCGCGGCGGCTCTGGTTAAATCTTATTTGGGGGGAAAATGACCAAAATGTAACGTGATGATTGGAGGGGAGATGAATAATATATATCAAATCTCTGAACATAACAGAAAATTAAACAACGATAATGCAACAATAATAGTGCATTTGTATTATAGTGGCAAAGTATATTTTTGGACAGACCTTGTCAAAAGTGAGCGGGCACTTTCACTAATAAAAAATATAGCACTTAAATTATTTCATTTTTAACAATCAATTAAATTACACAGCAGTTTTATATCAAAAGATGATAATGATATAAAATATACTACATTTTGATGGTAAAATGTAAACCTTTAAGCGATGGCTGCTATTTGTTTCAGTATTCAAACATTAAATAACGAATGCAGCAAGTGGAATAAAATACGAATATGAAACAACACAATATATCAGGATATAAAGCATATAAAGGACTATTCTGTTTAGCAAAATGCTGCTCTTTTATCTTTGTATTTTTATCATTTTATTTTTGTTATTTTAATTATTTTTGCCTTCATAATTAACTAACAAGCTGTAGGCAAATTCTTTTTTGGCGTTTTAGAAAATATTTGCGTATAGCTACCTGTAAGATCACCAAGAACAAAAAACAATAACATAGAAACATGTTACATGCCCCCATAAATGTCCAACTTATGTATAACTGAATCATATAATTGCCTAAAGCTAAAATGATGAAAGTTGCTCATTTTATTTTTATAAAACAGTTGTCAAAACCTACTGATATTTTTTGAGTAAAAGCAATACTGACATTTAAGAATCTATATTTATTTAATTGATTGATTCATTTGACTAGTTTGTTCTATCATCCAACAGTACCTTGGACAGCTTCAGAGCCACTTCGTAAAGCTTTCAAGCAAAGTCCAAAAAAAATTTAGAGAAGGAGTTGACTTTCTACCGTGGACTTTTGGACGGCTGACATTACAACACGCTGGTGTTAAATTAACATGATGTTAAGCATGTCTTAATTTACTTTATTCGATATGCAGCAGGAAAAAAAAAGTGTTTTAGTAGCCTAGTGCATGTAGTCGTTGGTAAAGTTCTCTCTGGATCAGAGCGAGTTTTGTGCTACCAAATGCAGCACTGCGTGCAATAAACACACACTCAGTCTGGCGAATTAAAGGTCTTATTGCCTAGGATGTCAATCAAATCAATCAGGCTCTAGCCACGAATAAAACAATAGGCTATTTTATTATTTCTAAGATTTTTAGATGACGGGTTAGTAATTATGTTATACATGGTTAACTGTATTCAAGTCAATAAAATAATAACTTCAATAAATAAAATATCTTCGTAAGAATGTGATGAGTTATTCACTTCTCTGCCAGAGGCTGCTTTATGGTTTTAAAACCCCTTTTTAAACTGTATCGTTTAGACTTTTTTTTGATTTTTTTATATTAAATGTAGTGTACTTTACTTGTGGATGTCTAATGACAAGTGCGCTTCCGCTGAGCCAGCTGTGGTAGCTTGGTAACTAAGCCGCGACATCAACACAGAATCTGTCAGCACAGTTGTCTAACTGTGCCGAGAATTCCAGGCCGAGAACGGTTTGTATTCATGCCGCGCCTTTTCAGGCTCAGTGGAGAAACAGCCGTAACCGTACCAAAGTGTTCTTAGAGAGTTCGGCACGATAGTGGAAAAGCGGCTTATGATCACGGATCATAAAGATGTATGTACAGTCGTACTGTTTCAGACAAAATCTCTTCAAAGTGGTTCATATTCAACTCAAATCAAATCCGGCGCCGCGTGCGCTGTTTACTGGAGTTTCAAAAAAATTATGCGCTCCGCCGGCCGAAATCATACCACGTACCCAAAGCGAATCAAGCTTAATCAGAAGGGTTTCACAAGATCGATTTGTGTTAGGATAACATGAAGCAATTAAGTTAACGTTTTTTTGTTTTTGTTTTTTTTTTACAAATTTAAGAGGATTGAACATAAAACAATTTAGTTGTCCCCCCCAAAAACCCTAAGAACTGTTTTATTTCAGCTCATTGTATGAGCACAATTTTTTTAGTTTTTTTTTTTTTGCTTTGTTGCAGTTGTTTTTTTCTTACCACAATAATGATTATATATAACACAATAACAATTAGATTATTTATTATATATATATATATATATATATATATATATATATATATATATATATATATATATATATATATATATATATTTTTTTTTTTACAGAGAACTGTTGCACCCCTATTAAATATGAATAAAAAGGTTTATTTAAAATTCAGAATGACTTTGGGGGAATAATAATAAACCACATTCAAACTGAACAATTAGTTGTTAATTGCACATTTAAAGGGGTCAAGAACTTCCTTTTTATTTTACTGTTTTCAGAGGTGCTATCATCTTATTATATCAAAAAGCATTGTTATATAGAAGTATTTTGCTTTAACGTCTTATTAGAACAAACCATTTGATTAGGCATAGTGCATTGTGGACTCTGGCTAAGAATATTTTCAAAGGTTGGAAAGGATGGCGGTGTGCATTAATGACACATTATCAGACAAAGCAATAGTTAACACTTCAAAAGTTTTACTATTTGCTTTTTTTGTGGTGTAATATTACTGTCAGTTTCGATATATTTCTCACATCATCTTGAGAAAAGTCTTCCTGAAATTCCTTCTTCAAATTATGTAATACATTTTAGTTGGTTAATGAATTCTCAGTAAAATGAAACGGAACACCTCAGTTGAGTAAAAAAAGCCTTTACCATAATAATAAAAAAGTCTTTGGTTGCTGTAATGTTACTTGGTCAAATGGGCAGATGTCAAATGGAAAAAATGACATTGTCATTTTCAAGTACCAAGTCAATCATATCGATTTCAGGAATAAGTTTTATAATGTACACAATTCTAAAATAATGTGAATTTACTACCATATTTGAATGCATTTTTACTCTTGAAACTTTACAACATGTAAATGAGCATGAAGTGTAACGATTGGGGTTCTGAAAGTAAAAGATAAAAGGAACATTTTCTCAATGAGCAAATTGTTTTTCATGATAATTTATGTAATCTTAAAGACACACCTCTGAAGAAATATGAGGTTGTTAGTAGAATTTGCTTTTGTTATAAGCACCCATTCATGTTATTTTTAAAACAATCTTGTTTAGCACCTGAATTTATCGTGAAAATCTACAATAGTCTTTAAATGACTTTAAATGAAATAAAAAAATTGTTCTCTCATTAAAGCAATTAGGTGCACAGTCTGCTACCTTTGTCTTATTTTCATGAACTTTTTTGCCTTAAAATTGTGATTGACTACCTCATAGCTGGTTATGATTGACGATGCTTAAAAACAAGCTTTAAAATAAATTGGGGATTTTTTTTAAAGAACCTATATTGTTGATCAATTTGGCTGTGACTAATGTATTTTATTGTTTATTTTAAATATTTTTAAATTTTAAGTAGTGTGTAAAGGCTTCTCTTTAGGTTAAAAAGTTTGTTTCTAAATGGCCATGTTTACCTTATCTTCACTTTCTCCTAAGGGGATCCTCATTTTGGTTATATGGAGAGAAAATATAAAGCGTCCAAAATATTCAAATCATATTATGGCATGCTGAATCGATAGTGTCTGTAGTACCAGCTATTCAATTTCATCATTTATGATTCTAATCCTTATACGATTGTTAAAAACATCACACTTCATATCATTTTAAAGGCCTTAGACAGGATTTGTTTACATTTTGTGGTCAAATAGTGCCTATGTATTGGTCTTAAATATCATGTGCTATTTTTCCTCTGCAGTTCAGAAACTTCAAGATCATTTACAGGCGGTATGCTGGCCTGTACTTCTGCATCTGTGTGGATGTGACGGACAATAACCTGGCATACCTGGAAGCTATTCACAACTTCGTTGAGGTAAATTTGACAAAAGCCAGCTTTAACTCTATTTATACTGTATATCTTTGAGATGCTTGATTCCAATTTTGCTGATAAACACACAGCTTAAGTTCTAGACAGACTTTTGAGCAAAGTTTGATATCACTTTACTGATTTCAGTTTTTTAAAATTTCAAACAGACAAATGTCTTGAAATACAGCATCTAAACCAGTGGTTCTCAAATAGTGGTATGTGTACCACTAGTGCAGTGATAGGCAAACTCGGTCCTGGAGGGCCAGTGTCCTGCATAGTTTAGCTGCAACACTAATCAAACACACCTGAACATGCTAATCAGCGTATGCAAGATCACTAGAAATCTTTAAACAGGTGTGTGTGTGATTAGAGTTGGAGCTAAACTGTGCAGGACACCGGCCCTCCAGGATCGAGTTTGCCCACCCCTGCACTAGTGGTACGCAGGCTTCCTTCTAGTGCAGGGGTGCCAGCCCTGTTCCTGGAGAGCCACCTTCCTGCAGATTTCAGTTGCTAGCCATATCAAACACACCTGAACCAATTAATTAGGACCTGAACACCACATGATAATTACAGGCAGGTGTGTTTGATATGGGTTGCAACTGAAATCTGCAGGAAGGTGGCTCTCTAGGAACAGGGTAGGCCACCCCTGTTCTAGTGGTACACAGAGGAATCACTGAATAATTAAAGTAAAAAAAATGAACACTCTTTTAACCCTTTGACGCGTACGATAACACCAAAGTGATCAGTAAATTGATTTTAATAGGCTAAACCTTTCATTTTATTTTCAATTTTCTAATGTTTGTATTGTATTCTATCATTTGAAGCTAATTTCCTCCCCACATTTGTAACAGTTGTTGAGGACATATCCCGTATTTTTAAATCCCAATGTTGACATGTGTGGTTTAATGACTTGTTTTTACAAAGCCTAGTCTAACGCGCAGTAAGCAGACCTAATTTCTAATTTAAATATTTGAATCCAAATCATATATTTAAAATGCAAGTTAATGTTTAGATTTCAAAGATATGCAAATAAGTCATACATGCAACATCTATTTCAAAATTTATCAAAAAGAGTTTACATATGAATACGATGACATATAGCCTAAATTTATGAGGTACGGGGAACATTTCCATGTTTTGATTTTTACTTTTTAAGAACAGTGTCTTAAAAAAATAATTTAAAAAATTACACCAACAGAACCAAAACAAAAATCTCTCCTGTAGTCAGTTTAGTCCCTAGAAATGTGAGCACACTTTAGAATGAAAAGCTCACATCAAGGTGAACTACTGTAAACAATGTTTCCTAAATATTTGTGGGATGATGTATACATAAATCAAAGGGAAAATGTGAGAAATAACATTTAAGTGATTTAGCTGCAATATTTTTCTTATTACTTGTGTACTAATGATAAGAGATAATGCATATTTCTTCTTTGTATGTACCGTATAGTTAAAAGTATAGTTGCTTTGTTACATATAGTTAATCACTCTGGCCTCTATTTACTGGAATCTTCTAGAAATACTTTTTTCTTGTTTGTGTTACTGTGCGTTTTGGTTCTGTCGGTGTAATTTGCAGATGATCCCCAACACTGCGTGCATGACTGTGGCGAATATCAAACCTAAAACCAACTTTACCGAGCTGGTTTAGCTGTCTTTCAACGATTTTAGGACTAACAAGTTGTTAACATCACAAGACCTAATACAGTATATACAATACGACTTCATCACAAGGCCTACCGCACTTACGCTGCAGTTTCTCTGCCCACTGAGGAAGTCCGCGACTCCTGCTGCGGGACGGAAGTTTGACGTTTGGTTCTCCTGTGTCCCGTGTTCCTCTTGCTCTACCAATGCAGCAGCTGCTTCACGTAAAAACTGACTAACAGTTTTGCCATTTTACTTCTGTTATACTGTATTTACACTAGTAAACTCACGCTGTCCCATCCATCAAAACCGTGCTTCTGCCCTCGGACTCTGTGTGAAAGCACTCGACGTCACTCGAATACGCCCCTCCCACTGATTAGCATAGGCTTTGCACGCAGCTTGAAGTTGAAAATGAAATCGAAAATGAAAACTGAAATGAAAAAGTGTCAATAAAAGGAAAGCTTAAATTTACATTTTAATTTGAATTGTGTCACTATTATAGCGTGAACATTAATAACACGCTTTGTAAAAATTGTGTTTGCATTTTATTTTTCAGTTTGGCTTTTCATTTTAATATTGGCAGTCTTGATGCGGAAATGCAGTGAAAATGAAATGTTAAATCGGCAACTTCATTTTAATTATCAATTTGACAGGGACGATGTGTTGTCAAAGTGAAAATGAAAATAAAAATGAAATTTAATTTCATTTTCAATTTTGGCAGATATTTTGCGAACAGTGTTTTAAAATGAAATTGTTAATCTGATTTTCATTTTCATTTCCAATGTTTATTTGATTTATTTAAAATTGGCAGGATTTACCTTCCATAATATACGACTGTCAACAGCTCAAAAAATCTGTTTTGGTGTTTCGTGACCCTTTAAAAGATGCAAGATGGGGTTGTAATGGTCAAACACGTCCATTCAGCAAGTGTTTAAATTGAAAAACAAGTAGAGCGTTGGAGATGAAAAGTGTATTTGTGTGAACAGCCCCTTGGGACTACCTTCTTCTAAGCCACTTTTTTGACACTTTCAGTTTTTCCACTCAGATAACATTAGTCCTGTTTAGAATCTGCCACTATGCTGACTTATAGGTGTTTGTAGCTCCGCCCTCTTTTGAAAAGAGGGCTGAGAGCAGAATCTCATTTGAATTTAAAGCAACAGTCAACAAAACGGCACAATGTGCATCAAAGCTGTGGGGTATTTTGAGCTGAGACTTCATATACACACTCTAGTGACATCAGAGACTTATTTTTTATATTTTTAAATTATTTTTTAAGGGTTTTTCACCTTTATTTTTGAAAGGACAGTAGAGAGAATAGATAGGAAAGCATGGGGAGCAGAAAGAAGGGAAGGATCGGCACAGGACCGCGAGGCGGAATCGAACCCGGGTCGCCGCGAGCACCAGAGTGCATGTGTCGACGCACTAACCACTACACCACTGGCGCCGACATCAGAGACTTATTTTATACCTTGTCAAAAAAGTGTGGTAACCAAATGTTTGAATAAATCACATCTCGAGCGTGCATTATATTCTAATATTTCAACAACCCATCTTCACACATTTCTTACTTAAAGTGTAACCTCACTGATTCTACCCTCAACCTACTTTGTGTGTGTTTAGAAAGCATAGATTGAGGCATGGGATTCTGCTGCAGCTCTTAAGATCCTGAGAGTTATGTATATGTATATGGACTTCATTTGGCTCGCATCGAATAAAATCATTACCTAATGTGTTTTGCATTCAATTGAGCAGTTAAATGGTGCAATCAGCACACTTCCTGAGCGCTAAATTGATTTATGCTACACAGAATCTGTAATTAAAAATCGCTCTTATATGGACTTTTATGAAGCCTAAATCAAATGAGATATGCAGACTCTTAAGGGAAGTTTAAGTTGCTAGCTTTAAAACGTCAGGAAATGAACTTTAATAAAGGCCATTAATGCACTGTATGATAAATTAATGTGGTCTGAAAGTGATTGCCTGCTCGCTCTTCTACAAATATTAACATAACCGAGTTCCTGGTCATTAAAAGAAACGTTGCTAATTAGGTCTGGTTGACACGTCTTATAAAACAATCTTGATCTCTGTAATGGCTTTAAATGTCATACACTACCTGACAAAAGTCTTGTCGTTGATCCCAGTTATAAGAGCAACAAATAATAACTTGACTTCTAGTTGACCATTTGGAAAAGTGGCAGAAAGTAGATTTTTCCGATGAATCATCTTATAAACTGCAGAAGACCTTTTACAATCCACGTGCACTCAAGATTCTAATAGAAATCAGTCAAATTTGGTGAAGGAAAAATCATGGTTTGGGGTTGCATTTAGTATTGTGGTGTGCGAGAGAGCTGCAACTTCACAGCCAGAGGCATCAAGACATTTGTGCTGCCTATTACATTACAAACCACAGGAGGGGGTAAATTCTTCAGCAATATAGCCATCCTTCTCAAACTTCAGCCTCCATGTCAAAGCTCCTGAAAGCAAAGAAGGTCAAGGTGCTCCAGGATTGGCCAGCCCAGTCACCAGATATGAACATTATTGAGAATGTCTGGGGTATGATGGCATAGAAGATGAATCCAAACAATCATGACGGAAGTCCTGCAAGAACGCTTTCTTTGCCATTCCAGATGACTTTATTAATAAGTTAATGAGTCATTGCAGAGATGTATGGATGCAGTCGTCCAAACTCTTACGAGTATTAAGTCAGTAATAGTAAGTTGGGAGTTCATTCTTTTTCCACTGCACCATAACTTTATATTTTCTACATTATTTCTGTTAGGTGACAAGACTTTTGGCTTTTTGTCAGGTAGTGTAGTGTATATCACCAAAATTCCAATCAGAAGCTTTGGGCCCAATCCCAATTCTACCCCTAAGCCTTTCCCCTTCCCCTTCCCTCTTGGTGTGCCAATTCTCTTTAGCTTGTAGGGCTAAGGGGAAGGGGTAAATAGCCCTTCGAACGAAGATTTTTCAGGACCACACTTGAAACCAAGGGGTAAAAAAATTTCCCAGAATAAACCTGCCACGACGGCAGTATTGCTGAACCCGGAAGTAAGGAGATCCACAAATTAGTATTTTTTTGTCATTATTATGAATTTTTACCACAAACAAACACGTTTTAATATATTCATAACCGCGTTCGTGTTTTAGGGTGATTTCACACCTTACACTTTTTTTCGGAACGTATCTCGTTTGCCCAGTTAGTGCGGTTCGTTTGGCATATGTGAACAGGGCAATCGCGCTCTGTTCCGTGGCAAAGTAATCGCTCCGAGACCGGCTGAGTGAGGTGGTCTCTGCTCGATTGAAACGAACCCTGGAGCGGTTCGATTGCAGTGAGAAAGCGATCCAATCATGTGCGCGGTTATATCACAGTGTTTTATGGATGTGTAATACGCTTACGGCGTTATGAAGAGAAAATTATGAGTATGGCGGGAAGTTTCGCGAGTCTCCGGATGCCCCCAAACGAGTGATGATCTCCCGGTAATCTCGCGTCTCCCTCCCGGTCCTCAAATAGGCATCGTCGCGCACCCTTCTCACCCCTCCCCACCGCATCTCTCCTTAGACCCCCCCCCCCCCCCCCCCCCCCCCAAAATACCCTAAATTTCGCAATCTATAATCCCTAATAATAACTCCTGTACAGCAGTCCCACAACATTCTGACACTCGAATACCCTGTCAGTAATGTCTTGTGGCTGTCAACGGGCTTTTTACAGTGTCTGCTATAATGTTAATGTTGTTTTTTGGTGTGTTCACATTGATGAATATGGCTCCTATGTAAATAGACAGTACAATTACGATCTTATTATCACATTAGATCGTTATGATAACATGATATATGCCTTCAGTGATTTCCTGAAGATTAATACCAAATAACTACACAACTGGAATAACGACAGCAGTTACAATCGTCTGATCTCACATGAAGCAGGAGATCGCGAGGACATATGATGATGTGTGCAGGTGCTGTAGTGTGTCCCAATTCTTAGGGTTAAATTTTGAAGCCCTTCCCCTTAACCCTCGGTTGTAAGGGCCTAGGGGAGGGAGTAAGGGTACAAAAATAGAATTGGGATTGGGCCTTAGTTGTCATGCAAATTCAGAATGGTTATCAGAAGAATTAAAATGCATTAACATTTTATCTTGTTTTATGTTATATAAATTAGCATTTTGTTTTCTGTAAATTATTTTTTTTCATTTTTTCATTTAGTTCTTTCATTTTTATGGTTTTAAATACATTTTAGCATTAATTAATGATTTAAATGTTTATTAAGAGTTTGACAAAATGCATAAATTTCAATATATATATATTTTTTTTACAAATTTAATTTAGATTAAAATCGAAACAGATTTACACTTTTGTAATTTCTTAAATTATTATTGTTATTATTATTAAACTTATTATAATTTTAAGTTTGTATATTCTATAGTGCAACCATATAATTTCTGTCATAGTCAAGTTAACCCAAACTTCTATTTTGAGGGGTAAAATGCTGTTGAAGTAAATTTCAAAGCATCTTTGGAAATGATGTTCATGTGTTCGGGTTTCATGTAGAGACACAACATATGAAAACACCACCAATTTCAAGCAAACCGGGCCATTCATTCTTATACGGTATTTGATTGGAGTTTAGTTCATTTAATTGTATGTAATAAAAAAAATAACTTTGTGAAACACTTCGGTAAATGATGGCTGTTTTTTTAAATGTGCTTTAAATTAAATTTGTATATAATTAAAAAAGAAAACTAGTCCATATAGTGATTTGTGGAATCTATTTTTAATTTATCCTCCCACAATTTGCAAAGTTCTCTGACCTTTAACATTATATGGCAAATGCAATGTGTAGCTGCACGGCTCAATAAAGGATTGACTTCTCCACCGGTGATTCTCACAATTTATTTTGAGAGAATTTACACAAGAATACACACAAATCTCTGGAAAAGCGACCCGTAAGAGTTTGTATATAAAAACAGAAACAAATAAACATTTAAACCAAATACAAATAAACAAACATCACCTAAATTCATTATACAAAACAAACTCAATACAACAAACACATTGGAATATGAAGTGTCTGTACCTTTTTCTCCAATAAACGCAGGAGCTAAACTTTTAGACCCCTGCAGACCGCATACGCTGTGACCAAGTGCGATCTCTTTCCCTCTATCTGTTTAAATCCGTTATAGTAATCACAATTCAAAATAAAAGACTTCCTTTTCACACTAAACACTTCCGTAACACTAATTAAATTAAATACCATAATTATAAAAATATGCACATTTAACAAAGAAAGTAATAATAATTATAAAATCAATACTAACTTGTATATTGTAGAAAATTGACAAAATAATATTACCAGTTTATTTCTAAGCTCTAGCAGAGAATTAATAGCAACCTTTTTGAGGAACTAAATGTCAGAATAATATTAAAATATATATTATTGAATTATATAATTTTACATTATCTGTATAAAAATATTACATGTATTGTCCAAGTCCATTAGCCTAGCTGCAAATTTTCCAATCTAAAAACAATGCAGTGTAATCCACACATCCTTAGTAAATAAGCATTAGCGAGGGCTTTCTGCAGGTAAATCCATAAGCAGCACTGTGGGACAGTTGTGTTGGTGTAGTTTTTACTGTGGAATGTGGCCGCGAGGGAAAGCAGCGGCCAGGAGTTCAAGAACACTGTGACATGGAATTCTGGGACTTCCTTTGACCCTCACTGTAAACAACTCCCCCAACACTATCACTGGCCCAAACTGGCCCACATACTGAAAACAACTGGTCTGCAAACAAACAGATGCCTGGGTCACAACCCAAAAAAAAAAGAAAGAAAAAAAGAAAAAGAAACAGCCAGCTGATTCTGCTGCTGCTTATTACTACATTGAACGACGCCACTGATGCCCAATTTTCTCTTCCTCCACAGGTTCTCAATGAGTATTTCCACAATGTGTGCGAGTTAGATCTGGTCTTCAATTTCTACAAGGTAAGCAGAGGACTTGTTTTAAATGAAAGCTAAAATATCCCAGTACTGTGTTGATTACGCTGGAAAATACATCGTTTCAGCATCAGTATCTGCTATGTGTATTTGCTATAGTCACATCACAGGATCTGCAGTGTTATGTTTGGGCTTAAACCTTGATCTAATCTAAGAGTACGAAATGCTTTGATTTTAATGCATTTTTAGGCCCTGTGACTGTAAGGTTTTAATAAACAATTTGATAAACAATTGGGCACAAGAAGTTCTAAGTTTCACTGAAAACTATGAAGTCTTGGTTATTTCATTTGAATCTTTGTTCTATTGTGCTTAATTTTTTTTGTTATAGTTTTGTATTATTTTGTATATTTGGTCCCACTTTATATTAAGTGTCCTTAACTACTATGTACTTGCATCAAAAAAATAAATACAATGTACTTACTGTGTTTATGATGTATTTGAGAACACTTGTGGTGCTTTTGAGTTGGGATAGAGGTTGAGTTATGAACAGGTTAGGTGGCATGGGTAGGTTTAAGGGTGGGTTAAGGTGTAAGGGATGGTCAACAGTGTATTTACAAATGTAAATACAAAAGTTAGTTACAGATGTAATTACATACTTGTATTTAATCAAGTATAAGTACACAGTAAATACATGTATTTGCACAATAAGTACATTATAACAAACTATTAATTCCTGTGTAAATACATATTAGTTAAGGCCACTTAATATTAAGTGGGACCGTATATTTTATGCAGATGCACTCCCCTAAAAACATAAATACTTTACAAATAGAGTTACTCAAGTCATCTTGTGAAATTACTGCATACTTGGATAACAGTTTATAGTTTAGATATAACCACTGATGTTTATGGTAAAGATTATAATCACCATCATGAGCATTTGGGCCTACTCGCACTATGCTATCCGAACCGTGCCCAGGCTTGTTTCCTGGATTGTTTGAGTAGTGCGAGTGCTCCGAATCAGGCTCAAACGCGGGTTCACTTGCCTGGCCCTGGCCTGGTTGGCAGAGATGTGCCAGAGCTTGGTTTACTTGGGCTTCTGCGCAGTACACTTATAGTGTGAGTGCAGAGCGTTCCTGAGCCTGAAACTGAAGATAAGACGTGACTTTAACGAGACTGTTCCTTATGGATTTATAATCATTCTTACTGTTCAATGAACACAAACTGTTGTAGTTTATTAAAGATGCAAACCCCTCACTGCATGACAGCTGCACCCTCAGCAAACCTCTTAATACCTGCAGCACGAGGACTTTATGATTGTTTATAAGTGTCAAAAGGGGCTGATCTGTTTGGCGAAATACTTGACTTCGTGTCACTGCATATCAAACAACTAAACGATATAACTAAAGTAATCTTGAAAAGCGCTTGATTGAATGAACAGCGCATCATTGATGATTAAGCGTCCCCAGGCCCGAATGTAGTGTGAGTGAGGGACATAGGGGGAGACGGGGGGACATTTCAGACCCCTCGCACACAATACTAGAGAATTCGCCTGGTCACCACGTCCACGAATTGCTTCCACCCCTCAGTTTTTTCCTCACACAGTCATGGAAACCAACAAGCTCTCCACCTTACACTGTTCTTCTCCTCCTTCTCCAATTCTTACCACCAAATACAAAAACCGACACCAAAACAACAAGAAGCCCCTTCTCTGGCCTTTTCTCCCTCTTTTATAATCTCCGATTGTTTACTTGCCCTTCCGCTTCCTCCCGACCCCCGGAAGTATTGTCTGGAAGCGATAGGAAGGACCGGTCGGAGCAGCGCCCCCTAGTGGCACTTGAGAAAAATAAACATTAAAGAGCATCCATCTCGCCACAAGCGTGTACTCTACGTAGTGTGAGTACGCCCTAACTTGACACTCAAAAATTAAAGTTGTAGGCAGCAATTACATTATTTAACCAATAGTTGGCGACAACCAGCCGTCCAAAATATGCCGCTGAATAATTCTTCAAAAATGACACATCTAGCAGTGAAACATGAAGTTTTGAGTGAATGACTGAATCATTTGTTAAAAATAAGACCAAAAATAAACAGGTTGTACAAATTGTAATGTTAGATGTTTACATTTAGCGTCATCAGCAACAGTAGTAGTTAGTCAATTTTTCACAGTACTGAATATTTACTATTTATTTCTGTTCAGCTGATTATTTCTTTTAAATTTTTATAAAATTTCTAAGTTCTGTTAAAGCCAAAAGTTTCTTGCAGTACTGTTTTTATAATAAATGGAACACAAATTACATTTGTCTCCTCGCCTTTTTGGCTGATCCAAAAAATGGTCTGATCTGTGACAGATAAACATAATGCTATTCAAACTGTGAGATTTGTGATCCGTCACTAATCGCAATAAATATTATACATAGAATAGCAAAATATCGCTATGTCAGTTTTTTTTTCCCCAATACTGTGCAGCCCTAATATTGATATGTATGTGCACGTAAATACATAGTAGGGATGCACAATTCTGGCTTAAATAAGAATCACGTTTTTTTTTTTTTGCTTAAAATTAAGATCACGATTTACTCATTCTTAAGATGTAAAATAAAGGTTAATTATATATATATATATATATATATATATATATATATATATATATTTATTTTATTTATTTATTTATTTTTTTTCTCTTATAGCTATGGTAAAAAACAATAGTATTAGGCATATGTGTATGTGTACTGAATTTTATTTGTCTATGACTTTGAATGGTGGAGTTGAATAGACTCTAAATTTTTCCTGGTCCTTAATGCACAGTAAAGTGATTAAATAAGAATAAACTATTCATAATTCTGAGGTTGAATCATTATGTTTGAGATATATGCTTGCAATATGTCATTAACAACATTATTAGACTTTTTTTTTCACTGGTAAAATGAGACAATTGTCAATACCAGATTCTCTCTTTCATTATGTTCAATCGAGATCACCATCTTTTTTCGGTTAATCATGCAGCCCTAATACATAGTATGCATGAGTGTAATGTATAGCATGCAGTAACAAAAATTAAGAGATTCTTTTGGAATTCTCAGTTTCTCTGAATTTAAATTTAATACATACATTCTGTTCTATAAAGAACTGATTAATTTTTTTTCTGTTTTAAAAAGTGGCAATTGGCCAAATAACTAAAAGGTGCTTTATAGACAACATAGTACCAATCTACGATGTTTGATAATTGACTTTTGGTTGAATGACCCTGATTTTTCAAATCACAAAAGAAAAAAAAAAGAAAGTTATTTTTAAATCTCATTTTCAAAAAAACAAAAAAACAAACAAACAAAAAAACAAAAAAGCTTTTCAATTACAATTTTATTACAGACCTTTCTAGAATAAATAAATTAAATAAATTAAAATAAATATTAAACCTTTGCATAAATCCAGTCCATCCACAGAAAATGATCTGTTATTTTTTTCCTCCCATCGATATGATGTAATTTATTCCTGTGATTTTTGAAGTGCTTCTTTTATCCTCGCTTGTAAGTCACTTTGGCTGAAAGCATCTGCTAAATGAGTAAATGTAAATGGTATGTTTCACTGAATTTTCAGCATTACTTTTCCAGTCTTTTACTCTTCAGCATCTTTCCGAAATCATTCTAATGGGCTCATTTATTAGTATCAATGTTAAAAGCTGTTACGCTGCTTCTGATTTTGATAAATTGATTTAAAAGTATAATGGTTTTATAATGGCACATAGTTTACCCCTTTTTTATGATTTAATATTAATATTATGGTTGTTCAGTTTAGGTTTAGTTCAACACACAGTTCAGATGATTTTATAATAATGTGCTAAAAAGGGTCATATTGGGGGCGTGTACACAGCTCTCTGTTTTAGGGGCGTGTTGCTTCACATGAAAATTTGTTTCGTCTTCCCGCCCAACGTAACAAGGGGGCGGAGTCAAGAGCTCCCCCGCTCTGTGTTTGGCAAAAGACAGGCAGACAGAGTGAAGCAGCAGCATGAGTGAGATGATCAGTATTCAGCCGTACATATTAGACTGTGACACAAACCAAGCAGAGAGTACAAAATCATTTGTGTCTTTGTATAGTTTTACAGCCAACTGTGCTAGTTTTAAGTGCCAAGCTTGTATACACCGAGACTAATAACCACGCTAGGGCTGGGTATCGAGTTCGATACTTTTTAAGCACCAACCGAATTGTCTCGATACTATCGAGTATCGAAAAAATCATTTTCGTTCGGTACCAAATTTCGATACCCAAGGGTATAATCTTGTCAACGTGCCCGGATCAAATGCTGGTAATTGGCTGCAGCGAGGCTGTCTTGAAAATTAAGTTTACGGCGGCTACGCCAACTTGCTCAGAGCTTGTCAAATGTGAGGCTGTAATGCGTACACTACACTTTAATGCTTTTTTGCATTGTTTGACTGCAAGAAGATCGGCGCAGTCATCATAACAACGTGCCCACCACATGCGTCATCCTCCGTGACTGATGAGGATTAAAGCGCGACGGCTGGGGCTCCGAAAAGTAAACAGAGCAGACATAAGCGCAAGCTGACGGCCCTTTTCCACCTCCTCCGCCTTAAAATCATTTTAAAGTTGGGCGAACTTCGTGTTATAACTTTTGCTTTTTGTCGCTAATAATACACGCACTGCGGGCTACACAGAGCAACTTTATTCTCTCCAACACCAGTGTGCACACACATCAGGATTCAGGGCCATAGCATTACATAAACTGCGTCGGGATAAATCAGGACTTACCAATTTATCGCTTAAACAACATTTAGCATGTTTCGCAGTGGCTAGTGTGGCACAGATAGCAGAACTCGCTAAACAGATCCGCCACTTTTGACGCTAATAAACAGTCATAAAGTCCTCGTGCTGCAGGATTTATGAGGTTGCTGAAGGTGCGCAGCTGTCGTGAAGTGAGAGGTTAGCGTCTTTAATAAACTACGACAGTTTGCGTTCACTGAACAGTTAATAAATCCATATGAAACAGCCCCTTAAAAGTCACGTCTCGCTTTCAGTTTCGGGGTTAGGTGCGT